GTTCTGTCTGTCCCTGCCGTTCTGTCTGTCCCCTGCCGTTCTGTCTGTCCCTGCTGTTCTGTCTGTCCCTGCTGTTCCGTCTGTCCGTGCTGTTCTGTCTGTCCCCTGCTGTTCTGTCTGTCCCTGCCGTTCTGTCTGTCCCTGCTGTTCTGTCTGTCCCTGCTGTTCTGTCTGTCCCTGCTGTACTGTCTGTCCCTGCTGTTCTGTCTGTCCCTCCGTGCCCAGCCTGTCCCTCGGCCCCTCGTGACTTTGTGCTGCTGCACTGTGGCAAGGCTGAGATGACCATTGGCTGGAAAGCCCCGAAGCACAAGGGAGGAACAAAGATCCTGGGATATTTCCTGGACCAGCACGAGCCCTCTGAGCCCGACTGGCACCAAGTCAACGCTCGGCCGATTCCTCGGCGCGTTTGCACGGTATCCATCGGGGCACAGCTGGGAACAGCTGCACCAGGGCTGAGCTGGGCTTTGGCTGCTCCTGCAGTGCCCTGCTGACCTGACCATGTCTGTCCTTCTGCACCCCCAGGTTGGCAGCCTGCAGGAGGGGCACCTGTACCAGTTCCGTGCCCGTGCCATGAACAGGGCTGGAGTTGGGGCAGTGTCTGAGCCCAGTGACCTGTTCAGATGTGAGGAATGGACAATGCCAGAGCCAGGTATCCCTCATGGAAAACCATCCAGGAAAGTGGCACCAGCTGAGTTCGTTTGTTATCTCCTCACTCTTCCAAGGGGTTTCTGCCATAGAAATGGTTGCTCCCAGGACAGAAAAGCACAAAACACTCCCAGGGGTGTTCTGATGCAGGGTGTTATTCCTACATTACACAGATAGAGCACCCAGGTATTTTTAATAACATTGTTTCCAGAGAATGAAGAATCAGGATCTAAACTCTAAATCCTTTTCTTTACACCACAGCAAATAGCATTAAAGCAGCTGGTGATGCTATTTCATAAACCTACCCCTAATTGCCATAGAAACCATCCCCTACAGACCCACTACCCCAAACTGTGCTCTGTGACCCCAGCCCAACTGCAGCTGCCCTGTTCCCTCTGTGCCAGGCCCTCCTCACGATGTCAGGTGCACTGAGGTGAGGGACTGCTCCCTGCAGCTGCACTGGGAAGCTCCTCTGTACCTGGGGGCAGGGCCGCTCACAGGGTACCTCATAGAGCTGTGTGAAGAAGGCTCAGAAGAGTGGAAGCAGATAAACAAGCAGCCCACAGGCACCACCCACATGAAGGTGTGTACCTGCCCTGAGTGTCTGGGTGCTGCCTGTCCTGCTCTGACATTAATTCCTGCCTGTGTTCCCTGCAGGTGTCAGACCTGGAAACGGGCAAGTGCTACATTTTCCGAGTACGAGCGCTGAACAAGGCTGGAGTTGGACCCCCCTCACTCCCCTCAGACCCTGTGGTGGCTAAAACCAAACCTGGTATGAAGCTAAAAGCCATGAGACTGGGCCAGTCTGTAAATAAATGCATGGTCTGGGTGAAAATGTTCTTTGTGATGCATCAGCTACTTGTTTCTCAGCAAGAAACACTCTCAGTAAAACAAAGATGAACAAATGAAGCTGCCCAAATGAATTAGCTCTAACTGTGCTCTGTGGTTGTTTTTTGAGTTAGATGTGCAGAAGCTCAGCCCTGGTCTGCTTTGGTAAGGAATGTTTGGTGGGTTTTTCACACATCCAGGCACAAATGAAATTGAAGTCGGGGTGGATGAAGAGGGTTTCATTTACATGGCCTTTGAAGCTCCTGAAAAGAATGACTCCTCTGAATTTATCTGGTCAAAGGACTAAGAGGGACCTCCAGATCCTGACCGAGTCCAGATTGAAGAGGAAGGCAATAGGTGAGTATCGAATGCACACTGAGAAAATGAACCGGTGAGTAAAGAACACATTAAACACCAAGGACAACCTGCAGCCAAATGTTTCCCTGTCCTTTCCCTGACTGCCAGCCCTGGAGTCCATGCAATGGGCTGGGCAGTGCAATCTGGGAGCAGCTGCCATCCTGTTCCCAGTATCTTTATATATTGGCTCCTCAGAGTCATTTATAAATTCCAATAAGTTCTACATTTTCTGTTCTGGGTGCATCAAGTTCTGTCCCAGGAGACATCATTTCTGAGGAAAATATGTAATTTTTGCTATTATTTTTTTACTTCTAGATCAAAGCTGATACTGAAAGAGCCCTCAGAGAAGGACCTGGGTGTGTATTCAGTGGAGGTCACAGACGTAGATGATGATATCTCTGCCAGCTGCACGTTAACAAAAGAAGGTAAAAACTGATCATTGCCAAAAAAAAACCCTAATGTGCCCTCATTTTCTAATCTTAGATGTTGAGAGGAAATTTTCCTGCAGAAGAATAGCGAGTGACTGATGTCACTTCATGGTATCACTAAAAAGATGTTTCCCATTCCTTGAAGGCTCAAGGGCAGTTTCTTTTACAATCCCCTAAGGAAAGATTCCTGCAAAGTCATTTTTCCACTGCAGTTCAGATTTCACATTTGGCTACACTGTGACAATGATTTATACCTTCTTTAGCACGCTCCCTGAATTGATCCAACCGATGTTTTATTCAGATATAACCAACAATTCCCTTCACCACCTTTTCTAGTCCTCCCCATTACTGAATGCTTTACCTTCTCTTTGACGTAATGTTCATCAACAAACTAAATTAAGTTGATACAATTAATTTGTTTTGGCCGAGTGTTGACTTTTAACTCTCTGCATTGCAGATCTGGACAAGTTACTGAAACGCAGCCACGAAATCAGGAACCCACGTAAGTTGAAGCAGCAAAAAGCCACGAGCAGGGGCCAGCCTGGGGAAAGGGAAGGCAGCAGAGGCCTGGCTGGGCCAGAGCCTGTGCTGTGCCTGGCATTGCCCTGGGCTTCTCTCTGCCGCCAGTGATCAAGCTGATATCTGGCTGGAACGTCGAGGTCCTGGAGAAAGGGGAAGTGAGGCTGTGGCTGCAGGTGGAGACGCTGTCCCCGAACGCGGAGCTGCACCTGATCTTCAATGACAAGGAGCTCACCAGCACCCCAGTAGGTTTGGTTCTGCATTTCATCTTCCCCACTCTGAACATGGCACATTCCCAGTTTTCCAAATTTCTGATGGGGATTTTGAGCTGAATACAGGCAAATCTCATGAATTCTAAGAGCAGATGGAAGAGATTTATTTCTCAGTCCAAAGCACTGGAAATAGCCCTGTGTGTTACAGCACCCTCCAACCTCCTCAAACATCCACAAAAATGTTCAGGCCTCCTCCTTGTCCTCCCATATCAAATTAATATTAGAACATGTAAAAAATACTTGGAATGAGAGGACCAGAGGGGAGAACAGTTGAGAATGAAGCACAAATATAAATCATGGGCTGTCAGCTCAGCTCAGAGCAGCAATGCCCAGATAACAACCAGGACCCCCAGAACAAAGGACAGGGCCAGGCCAGAGCAGTTCAGAGCTGTCAGTGCCCTGTTGGGGGGTTAAATCAACATGTAACAAGTTTATCCAAGGCTTTATCTCTTCTAAAATCTGTCTCCTCTCCACTGGAGAGCTGACAGGGATCTGCACATTTACCAGGCTCGTTGCAAGGACAATATTTGCTCAGAGCAAACAGGCAGTGAGGCAGAGATGATGTTTGTGTTCAGGAGCTCAGTGGTACCTGCACCTCAGCTAGAGGGGGAAATATTCCCCACCCTGGCCAAGGATGGAACTACACATCCCAGATTATAACCAAGTGCAGCACCTCCATGCCACTGGAAATCACAGCCACTCTGGTTGCAGCTCTGAGGAAGGATGTCTTCCTCATCCTGTAAAATGAGGGGAGTTTATAAGGACACAGGTACAAAATAACTGCAATATCTGCTGTGCCAGGAGCAGCTCTACTGTGGAAACCTCTTCAGTTTCTCCTCTGTTTGACACAGACACACAAAATCAACTTTGTCAAAGAGAAAGGCCTCGTGGAACTGATAATCCAGGATTTCTGTGCTGATGACAAAGGGATGTACACGGCCCAGCTCAAAGATGGGAAAGCCAAAAATCAATTCACCCTTGCTCTCATAGATGAAAGTAAGTGAAATTCAGGATCAAATACAGACTGCCATGCTCAGTGGAAACTTTGTGAGGCACTTAAGGCCCCAATGCATTTCCAACAGTTCTAATGGCACACTGGGAATGGGGAGAGCAAATTTTAGCCCAGATTTGAAGTCCAGGAATCATTTTAAAAATGATCTGAATCTCTCTTTACCATAAATTAAAGCTTTTAGTCTTATAAATAGGTGCTTGATGATAAAAGCAGTCTGCTGAAGTGGAATGCTTAGTTCTTGCTTCCAAATGTTTTACATATTAGCCTGCAGTGGTGAACTGTGCCTTGGCAGCAGGGTGGGGAGTGTGCAGTCATTTATCTCAGGGCAGGATCAGGCTGGAAATTCAGTGTATTTAGCAGCAGGTCCACTGCACTAAAGGTAATAAAGACAAGGAGGAAATATCTCTATTGCAGAGGAAATATCCAATAATGGGGGGTTGTTAACTTTGTCCTTTGCTGTTCCATAGCTTTTGCTAAAGTGGCAGAAGAAGCTGAAGCAAAACGGAGACAATGGAAGAAAAAGCAGGGTAAGGTCAGCCAAAGGCCAAGGACTTGTCAGAATGAGGCCAGGATGGCAAAAGCCAAATGGATTTATTTCACTCCATCATCTTTTCAAACACAGTATTCGAGCTGAGGTGACACTAGGACAGACTCCTTGTTTTCAGATACTTTGCCCTGCCCTTAAAAATCAAATAATGAACTCGTTTTAGCCAGGCTAGGCAGATTTATCAGTGGAGATCTTCTGCATCAGTGCTGTGGCACTGAACACTTTCAAACTGAAAACTGTCCAACCTGAATATACATTCTGTAATTAAGATCCACTTGTAAAAACCAGGATTTTTAGCTGAGTTTGTAAAGATCCATTCATTCCACTTTCACCTCCCACCTTATGTTGGTGAATAAAGAAGTTTATAAAACAAGTTCATTGCAAAAATACTACAATTGGAAATGTGATTCCCTGCTAGTGAGGATAAAAATATTCACTTGTTAGTGACTGTGACAGCACGTTATAAATCCAGTCTCCTTCTCGGCTGCCCAGTATGGGATGAAAGGATCTCAAGTAATTTATTTCAGTTTCCCTTCCCTGTTCCCTGTTCCCTCGGGAATTCCAGGTGCACTACGGGAATCCAGCACTAGATGGAAGCATTCCCGCAGGAAACTCGAGGTTTCATTTCTTTTCCAGGTCCACATTTCATAGAGAACCTGACATGGAAAGTTTTGGAAAGCTGTGAAGTGCTCCTCACCTGCAAGGTAACAGAATTCCTTCAGCATCAATTTTAGGTGCAGTTTTCAGAGGATATGAGCAGTGCAAATGCTTTGCTGCATTTTTAAGGAAATGGCTTCTTTTGGGCAGAAATTTTAACAAAGAAGGGAAATTCTCAGATTCTGGAGTAATGTAAGTGATGATTCATATTGGGACATCCAAGAATTAAGGAATCAAATGGATTTTGACTTCTAAATGTTGACTTCAAACAGGCAACAAACCTGAGGAAGGACACCAGCTTCCAGTGGTTCTTCAATCACAAGGCACGAGCTGGTGGAGTGTTTGATCCACAGACTGGGATGGGAACTCTGCAGATCCCAAAGGTGAAGCATCAAACAGCTCAGAGGTCCACAGGAAAATGGCAAAAAAAACCCCAAAAATGGGCTGATCTTATTCATATTCCATGTGGGTTCTGGGTAGTGCCCGCTGAGTGACAGAAACACTGAGAAAAGCAAAAGAGGAGAAACTTTTAATGTTGCAGTCAGGTTCTGAATCTGAGTTCTAGAGGAGTTCATGGCAGGGGGTTGGAACTAAACAATCTTTAAGGTCCCTTCCAACCCAACCAGGCTGTGATTGAAGATTCTAATAAGAAATAAGATGTTTTTAACAGTGGGTGGCTGTGCAAAGTTTAACACATCCTGAGAGGCTGAAAAGAGCTGGTTTCACACAGGGACTGAGGCACAAGCTGAGCTACTGAACCCCAAACCCAACAGCTTCTGAACCAGACCTCCCTATCCTTTCACAGGAGCTTTGGAACAAATTTATCATTTTCCCCCCTCATTTCTCCTCAGTTCTACTAAACTCATTAGGAAGGAATGATTCTGAGCTTTTCCCCTTTTCCAAATCCTGCTCCTATCCTTTCACAGGAGGTTTTGAGGCAAATTTCCCCCTTTTTCCCCCTCATTTCTGCTCAGTCCAACCAAACTCATTAGGAAGGAATGAATCTGAGCTTTTCCCCTTTTCCAAATCCTGCTCCAATCCTTTCACAGGAGGTTTTGAGGCAAATTTCCCCCTTTTCCCCTTCATTTCTGCTCAGTTCGACCAAACTCATTGGGAAGGAATGAATCTCAGCTTTTCCCCTTTCCCAAATCCTGTTTCAGTGATAGGGGAGATTTCTCTGGGAGGGGTGTTGTTTGTTTTGGGGCTTGTTTGGGTTATTTTAATCAACATTACACATGCACACACGTATTTGGTAGGTAACCAAAGCAGATGAGGGCCTGTACAAAGCAGTGGTTTCAGATAACCGAGGAGAGGACTCCACCCAGCTGGACCTCACAAAAGGAGGTGAGAGAACTTTGGATCACATTCACACCCCTTTTGGGATTAAAACCCAAATATCCTCACTTCCTACAAAACCTACATGTCCTAAGTGTTTTTATAGGAGTTCAAACCCACACTAAAATATTACTGGTTGAATTTAAAGAGTTTCCTGCTCCACCTGCAGTCATTTCTCCAGCCGGGGCTGCTTTATAAATTCTGCCAAGCCCCACAGATAAAAACTCAGGGATGTTTCAGTCACTCCAACCCAGAATCCATCAGGAGGTTCTGCTGCCCCAGATTAAATGCTGCCCCGACATCTGGAATGCATCATGTGAACCTGGTACATAAATCTCCTGTCTGGGAGGCACATGCTGAGTGGGAAGGAAGATAGGAGCATCTAAATTTAGTAAGAAATGCCCAGCATCTGAAAACAAACGAATCAGAGGCAAAAACTCCATTCCCAGTGAGCTGTGCCACAGCAAAAGACAGCAAATAACCCATGGCTATAAACCATCCTAGCACAGTGAAATTCAGGGGCAGATTGGAGGTGGTTTGCTGTGATTTGTATTTACAGACACTTCAATCTTTGTCTTTCAGCCTTTGAGGAGCTTCTGAAGGAGCTGTGCAGGATCAGTGGTATGTGAGGGGAGAGGTGGGAGGGCACAGCACCAGCACCACCCTCCCTGCTCCTCTGGCTGGGATTTTGTCCTGGAACTGGGAAATCTGGGAATTCCTCCTCCATTCCAGTCTTTATTTTACACCACCAGCTCTTTCTGCCACACCTCTGAAAATCCAGCCCACTGAGGAGGGCATCAAAATCTACACTGAAGTCAAGTACTACACAGACTACATGAAAACCACCTGGTACCACAAGTAAGTCCCCAAAAGTATTTGTAAAGTTCCTGGAGCACTGTTCCTTCTAACTGTTTATCCAAATTTAAACATTTGGGCCTGAGCCCATACATTTTTCTGGATTTGTCTGAGTAAGGGCTGAAATCCACAATTCACTCCCATCCTGGAACAAGTCTGGGAATTCCAGAGTGGAAAGTCATGTTATTTTTATGGTAGCACTGCAGAAATATTTATAAGTGATCATCTTTCCTAGAATAATAATGATGCTGCACTTATGGTACTGCTCAGTTACAGCCTCCTTGGTTACAGACAGAACTTTTTCAAACACTTTATTTTTACTACTTCATGTTTTCCTAAACCACTCTCTTCCCCCACTCTGAATAAAAAATATTCCCAAAATTACAAAATTCTTCCCAAACACTGAATAATTTAGCCTTATAATGTCCTCCTAAATAGAGAGCTGGTGTTTTATTAGATACCACCTACACATGTAGATAAGGAGGTGAACTTTTAATAACATTCAAGGGCTAAATACTTACAAATATTCAACATCTCAATGGGATTCAATCCCTTCAATAACAACCAGGAGGTCTTTTGTAGAGTTTATGAAGCTCTGGCAAACTGCCTCCAAGGGCAGCCCCATGGATTTCCTCTCTCCACGAAATGAATCCTGACTCCCACTAGAAAATGTGATTTCCCAGCTCTGCTGAAATGACAGAAGTGCCATCACTGCTCCCTCAGGGAGAAGCAGCTGGAGAGCCGGGACAGGACGAGAGCTGG